CCTCACGCTGTCCGACCACTCAAGTCCTGCACCTGAGACCTATGCGCAAGATAAATCACGTGGTCCAGAGCCACCGTTTTCCTTATCCAACTCCTAGCTTGAACCCCACGCGCGAACGCCCCAGTTCACGATCCCGTCTCCCACGTGGATTTTGCCGGCTAAACCGTAGCCCATTTGTATATAAAACCGAACGCTTGTTCCCCCACGATGTACAAGACCGAATGCTTGCTCTACACAATCCTCCCAATGGTATACTCACGCGACTTGCCTTTATGTGTATGCTTGCTTCCGACCAAATACCTCTGTTCATTCTGATTAAACCTCCAATCCCACGGCCCATTCCATGCACGACAACTGTTCTAACCCAAAACCCCGTATCCGATCCACTCAATACTTTTGCCCTCTGCTTCCCATTACATCTAATTCCGCTCTTTTGAAGCATATATTACCTATTTAGAACAAAACACTATTTGTTTTAGTTCTAATTCAAAGATAAGATTTAAATTGTCTTCTTTGTGCGTTAATAATTGTAGCTAATAGCCTAAATAATCAAAGTGTAAGTATGTATAATTAAACAAATTTCACTGCAAATATGCATTCAAATTGAATCCCTCGCGCCTTTGATCTTAGATCCGGCCAGGACGATTCCAATTCCAATTGAAGCCCTCGCGCCATCGATCTTAGATTCGATTGGGACGATTCCAAATTCAAATAGAATCCCTCGTGCCGTCGATCTTAGTTCCTATCGGGATGATTTGAAATTGAAGTCCTCGCGTTGTTTATCTTAGATCCGGTTAGGACGATTCCAAATCCAATCGAAACTCTCGCGTCGTCAATCTTAGACCTGGCCGGATGATTTCAAATCGAAGCCCTTGCGCCGTTAATCTTAGATCCGACCGGGAATAAATCAACGACAAGTACAATCCCAACCTCACCTTGGAGGTAGGGGATGTCGGGAGGCTGCCGAAGCCATTCCAGAAAACTACCAAACTTTCTAAAAAAAGGATTTTTGATTAAAAAATTTTGTGAGCGATAATTTGTTAATTAATTAATAATGGTTTGTTAATTGAATTGAAATTAACTATTAATTAATTAGTTAATTGTATTAAGCATAAGTTAAAACTCAATTAATTGGTTAATTAAATTCAAAATTAAATTAATCAATTAATTTATGATTTTAATAAAATTTCTCTTAATTAATTGAAACAATTAATCAATTAATTTCAAATTAAATCTGAGCTCATTTAATAATTAATTAATTTATTTTCAAATAAATTTATTTAATTTAGCGATTAATTAATCAATTAAAAATTCAAAATTAAAATGGGTTAATTAATTATATTGGAGCACAATATGGAGAGAGCCACTATGGTAAAATTGCATATTTAATTAATCAAAAATTGAAAACAAAAAAAAGAAGACAATGTTTGCACTAACTATCTTAATACAACTCACACAAACTAAAACACCAAACTCCTAAAATTAAAACTAAAAGAAAAAAAAAACTAAAACTCAAACAAAGCTAAAAAAATTCTAACTCCATGCAAGCTCCAAAACAATAGGAACTCCTGCAAACGAACAGGCAGACAAAAGATCAGTATTATCAACAAAGTTTAGTGTAAGAAAAAAGAAAAGTACTGAAAACTAAATTGCAAGGCAAGAACTAATAATGTAGACAAAACTGTAGTGTAAGGAAAAGAAATCACTAAAACGAAGAACACTACTGAAGCGTAAAAAGAACCTATTGTAATAGAAATACTAGTGTCAGACTAATAAATAATTGAAAACCAAAAATCTAGTGTCAGACTAGTAAGCAACTGTAAACCAAAGTGCCTACTGTACAAATCTACCCAACTTAAATTCAAATCTCTAGGCAACTTGTAAACAGAGCCGTAAGACCTATCGAAATAACCAGGTTATTTCCTGAGTGAAGTAGTAAAACTTATCCAAACAAAATCTAACGGGCCATATACCCTTGATTGAATTTGCATATAATAACAGTTTTCAATTCAACATTGGAATGATGCCATATGAAACTCTTTATGGAAGGAAGTGCAGAACACTTTTGTGTTGAGCAGATACAGTTGAAAGAAAAATAATAAGTATTGAACTAGTGGATGTTGTCACTAGAAAAATCAGATTGATCAGAGATAGATTAAAAGAAATACATGATAGACAGAGGAAATATTATGATGCAAAGTATAAATTAGTTGAGTTTGAAGTGGGAGAGTTTGTTTTCATTAAAGCCAGTTCAATGAAAGGTGTTAAACGTTAAAACGATATGAAAAGACAGGAAAATTGAGCCATGATTCATAGATCCTTTTGAAATCATAGAGAGGATTGAAAATATGGCCTACAAATTGGATCTACTAGTGCATATGCAATGAGTTCATAATGTTTTTCATATATCAGTGCTTCAGACGTATATATCAGATGAATCAAAGAGAATCCAATAAAAAAACAGTTGAATTGCAGCCTAATTTGAAGTATATTGAGGAACCTAAAATGATACTAGAATATGAGGTGAAACAATTGAGAAATTGGGAGATATCTTTTGTAAAGATTTTATGAAAACATGAAACATAAAGAGATGCTACATGTGAGAAAGAAGCAGACATGAAATATCCCTCATCTATTCAATTAAGATATGTTTACTTAAAAAAAGTATGTTTACTTATACTTGATTTTAAATTTTGAGGACGAAATTTTTACGAGGGAAGATTGTAATTTCCGGCTTGTCTTAGAGCCGGCCGGTCCAATTGAACTGACCTTTTTCGTAACAGAGAGCAGAACCGACGTGGCTTGCGATCCAAACGGACTGAGCTGATGCCGCTCGCATATGTAAAGCCTTAGACGGAGTAAGTTTGGGTTTCTAAGCGAAGGAACACATACACGAGTGAAGAAGAACAACTTCTCATGTAGAATATCTTAGTTTCACTCACTCCTGTAGGAAAAAATCACGTGAGAAGTTACAACCAATTTAAAACGAATGAGAGAGAAAGAAGAAGAACAATGAAGGTATGTATATCGTTTATTTTTATTATTTCTAATAATATCATTTCATAATTTTACTTTTACTTAAGTAAAAAGAAATGTTCAATTAAAGGTAGAAGAAAGAATTTAGGGGAGGAAGAAAAGAGAAATTTGAAGGAAAGGGAGGTAGTTTGGAAAAGAAGAAGAAGAGAGCGTTCATTTTCTACAGCGAGGAACAATTAAGATATTTAAATTTACTTTAAAATTCTGATTAATTCATATATGAAGTAGATACAAAATTTTGGGTTTATGTCACAGGAATAAATCCTATTAATGGGTGGTGAGCCTCGATTTAAGTGAAAAAGAGAGGGACAAAGGTTTGGGATTGAAGCAATTAATTTTAATTAATTTTAGAGTTTTCCGGAATTCAAAATATGGAAAGTTAGAAACTTTCGACAATTCCTATATAATAGCCAATGCATTTAATATTACTTTTAAGGATGTTAGTCAAATCAAATTTATTGTGACATTGAATTTGTATACTTTTCAACATTAATTAATGAAATTTAATGTTATTGGAATAGGGAGAATTTCATACCTGAGTTGAGACAAATATTGAAAGTATATTTCAGGGATCAAATATTTTGAAGGAAACTGAACATTCAAAAAATATTTAATGTGGGTAATTTCAATAGTTTTATAGTAAAATCATGTAAAAGAAAAATGAAATGGAAATGGAAATGGTTGTACCTTTATTGGCACATTTAGATGGTGCTTCTATACTAATAGAAATAGATTAAATATCAAATGAAAAAGAAAGGAATATTAAGTGAAAATGGACAAATGAAATAGAATATGAAGTAATTTATATAAGAATAACGAATTATAAAACTTATGATATATGAAAGAAAATGTATATGTTACGTACTAAGAAAGATAAACAAGAAAGATGTATGTTTATTTTATATGACTAATTGTTGTGTATTTAATGATGATTATCCATTGAGTTTACTTTGTAAACTCATTCTATTAAACTAACATTTTCAGGTAAGTCTCTTGACAAGTGAAAATGACTGAAAGAGAGGAGTACATCTACAGAAGACGACGCTCAAATGAAAACATGTAATATATGGTGGGAGTTGATATCCTAGCTGGTGATTGACATGAAGCTTATGGGAATTAAGAGAGTTGCTATTTTTGGGAAACAGTTGGTGGGTATAATAATAAATTTTTAGTTCTTATTTCTTAATTCCTTCATTCAGCTGTGTGATTCTCGTAGAATTTGTCGGAAAGAAAAAAAAAGAGAGTATACGAAGAAAGGGAGAGAGGAAAGAGGCAATCTTATATGAGGCAAAGTGAGTGGAGAATATTTGGGGTGTGCAAATATTACGTTTTATATCTTTGAACTAGTGGCCATTTATATCTATGTGTGGTCGTGGATATAAGTTGATCTCACTGAAGCAAATAATTTTTTTTTATCTTGTTTTATAGTGTGTTTTCTTGTCGGTTTTATTTCCCTTGTTCTTACTATGCCATTACTCCTGGGGCACGCATTTTCCTAACTATCTGTAGTCATCATGAAATTTGATAGTAATATTTTAGGCAAATGGCTTTCCTGAAATATATAATGCTCTAAAATTTTAATACTTTGGATCGTGAAGTTCGGTGGATAACTCATTTCATTGATTCTTCATTGGGCTATATTCAAAGTAGCAATGAATTGATGAATTAGATGGCATCATGATCCGTAGTGCTACTATATTGTCCTTTGCCAGTCCTTGATGTTTAATTCTTATCCATTTCTAAACTAAAAAAATTGAGAGTTAATCGAAACTTCTGTTTGGGTATGCTCTATTATCTGTTGAAAGAACATTCATATCACCTGAAAATGGAAGTTTACCCTTCCACATACAGTCGGTTAAGGTATTGATAAATCAAGGCATCCATTTGAGTTTTTTTTTCATTATTTTTCAGATGTCTTATCTTTTGATTTTATGCCACTTTTTCAAATTTTGTGTTACCTGCAGGACTCATCTGGTATATTTTGGGATAATGACAGCTTAGCAGCTCTACTAGCTCTCGAGTTGAAAGTTGATCTCCTTGTTTTACTTAGTGATGTAGAAGGCCTGTACAGTGGTCCTCCCAGTGACCCACATTCGAAATTGATACATACTTACATAAAGGAGAGGCATCATGGGGGAATTACTTTTGGCGAGAAGTCCAGGGTTGGGAGAGGGGGTATGACTGCTAAAGTAAAGGCTGCAGTCCATGCTGCTTATGCAGGAATTCCTGTCATAATTACCAGGTGTTTATTTACCTTTTCCATACATACATGTTTATTCCTGCATCTAATGCTAATGACTAGTTCATGCTGCAATGTTGCAAGTGCATAGACTGTTCTATCATGAGATTCATCCTGTCTCAGACTTGATCACTAGCGTAACTTCCATACTCTAAGTGGATTTATGATTAAAAAACCATCCATCTCAGCAATTTGTGTTTTTGATTTTTAAAGCGTGCCAACTTCATTCCTAAAGTTAAACCAACAAATTAAATTGATATATTATACTCTGGCGAATAGGATAGTGCATAGCACATGGAACAAGCAGTTGATATATAGCTCCATAGTGTATGCAGTCTGTACATGTGCTTTAAGTGGTGATAAATAACTTTACTGTGAGAACATTTGTAGTTTATTGTTTGAATAATTCTTTGCAAGAAATAGTTAAAATACCATTCATTTTTTCATCTCTTTGATGAGATGAAATAAATGGTGATTACTTGGATTATGAAGTCATTGACAGAAGAATCAAGCATACAAATTCCTTTAAAATAAGGATTAATATAGGATGAAATTAGTAAGAATATTTAATACTCTAATGTAGATTCAATTATAATCATGAGGAGCGCTACAATCATCATAGATACTGTGTACATCAACTTTTGTCCGAGTTACACAACTATTTCTTCCCTTAGCTCCTAAGGTTCTGGCCTAGTAGTCTTTTTGTGCCACTCAATGGCGGAAGTTAATTCTTTGGAAATTAATTTTTGTTTACATTATATTTTATTGTTCTTTATGAATCATATCTTATGCCCCTCAATAAAGACCTTTAAAAAGGAAATTATTGTCTGTTGTAAATCTTTGTGAAAAGTGCCATTTGAACTGGAAAGCTATCGCATTGTAAAACACCATCAAAATTCTATCCGTTCTTAGCCCAAACTTCCATTTGCATTATCATGGCTCTAAACCTTTTTTTTTTTTTCATTACATATGATATTTATTGATTTTGAGAAAGCATATGATAAAGTTCCAACTTCCAAGAGAAGTGCTATGGAGAGTTCTTGAAAAGAAAGGAGTTAATAATGCTTATATTCAAATCATTAAAGATATATATGATGGAGCTAGTACTTGTGTTCAAACACAAGTTGGTTTGACCAAGTATTTTCCTATTTCGGTTGGTTTACATCAAGGATCAACCTTAAGTCCATATCTTTTTGCTTTAGTCATGGATGTTCTCACTAGACATTTGCAAGAGGATGTACCTTGGTGTATGCTTTTTACTGATGATATTCTTCTTGTTGATAAGACTAGAGAGGGAGTTGAAGGTAAACTCGAATTATGGAGGTTAACTTTAGAGTCTAAGGGTTTTTGCTTGAGTAGATCTAAAACTGAATATATGGAGTGTAATTTTAGTAGCAATAGACCTATTGATGGGATTGTGACTTTGGATGATCAAGTCATTAATAAGAGTACACGTTTTAGATACCTTGGATCTATTGTTCAGAGTGATGGTGAAATTGATGGGGATATAATCAGCAGAATTCAAGTTGGATGGTTGAAGTGGAGGAATGCATCGGGCTTATTGTGCGATAGAAAAGTCCCCCTCAAACTTAAGGGAAAATTCTATAAGATGGCGATGAGACCGGCAATGCTTTATGGTGCCGAATGTTGGCCATTAAAAGAGAAGCATAATACTAAGTTAAGTGTTGCAGAGATGAGGATGCTTAGGTGGATGAGTGGCTTGACCCTTAGAGATAGGATACGAAATGAGCATATACGTGAAAAGGTTGGAGTAGCTCCAGTGGAAGATAATATTAGAGAGAGTCGCCTTAGATGGTTTGGTCACATTAAATGGAGGCCTTCCGATGACTCGGTTAGGAAAATTGAGGTATTAGATTTGACTTATGTTAAGAAAGGTAGAGGTAGACCTAAAAAGATTTGGTTATAAAATATTAGAAATGATCTTTCTTTATTAGATTTAAATGAGAATTTGACTTTTAACCGGACACAATGACGAAAAAGGACACGTAGTGGGACAAAGACTTGATGTTGTTGTACATAATATTGATTTGATATTTAAAAACTATGCTCAATATCTTCATCACTCTCCCATTTACATTGGATTATGCTTTTTCTTCATTTCATTCCTTTGATGGTCTTGAGAAAATTGCTCTGATAATTGATGTCATGTATCCAGCATTGCTAGGTTTTTGTGCTTTTATCTCCCAAATTTGTAAGTACAGCCAGGCGTTTAATTCAAAATAGTTTTTCTTTTGTTTGCAATGCGGAGTGGAACTTAAGCTATTGCTAGTTTTAGCCTTACTTTTACTTGTAACTTTTAAGTTACACCTAGTAACTGCAAACAGTCCTGCATTATTATTTTTGTTTTATCTCCAAAATCTATGTGCAACCATGCGTTTTATTGATAGCATTTTTTCTTTTATTTTGCAGTTATAACAGTAACTTACAAACTATTGCACATTCTAGTCTCTGCTGGAATTTCATTTGTTTAGTTGCCTGGAAAACAATTTCACCATATGCTAATCTTAAATCTAAGAACTTCGGTTCCTTTGCCAATTTCTTAGTCTTTTTCTCTTTGTTGGGCTGTTTTCTTAAAAAGAGGATGGAGCATAATTCCAAAAACATGATTGCAGTGGAAAGAGTGGGCATGAATTTATCGTCATGCTGTCACGGCCGAGGCACCAAACTAATTATACTTCTTACTTTTATGCTAGCTTTGAAATTATTATTAATTTAAGCTTAACATGCCCTCAAGTCTGAATTTCTTATTTCTATTTGTAGACATTAATTGTCTTATGTTCTTTTAAGTATACTCCACTGAACGTTACAATCGCTTGCTGGTTTTTCTTACAAAATCAATGGGTTCATGCTAATAATTCCACTTGATTTTCTAGTGGTTTTGCAACTGATAGCATTATAAAGGTGCTTCAAGGAGAGAGAGTTGGTACTCTTTTTCATAAAGATGCAAATTTATGGGTGCTTCCTAAAGAAGATGGTGCACGGGAGATGGCGGTTGCTGCAAGAGATTGTTCAAGAAAACTTCAGGTGTTGCACCTATGATTATCAATTGATAAATTCATCATCAATCTCTTAACTTTTTCTCTTATTGGTGGAATTTTGTTTAATGAATGCATTAATCACCTTGACGGCTATTCAGGTAGATGGTTTTTTCACGCATTTATTTCTATTTTTTCCAGAGAATTTCATCAGAAGGCCGTAGGAGGATTTTGCTAGACATAGCTGATTCTCTAGAGGCAAATGAAAAGCTAATATTGACAGAAAACGGGGCAGATGTTATTGCAGCACAAGAGTCTGGATATGAAAAATCAATGATATCTCGATTAATTTTGAAGCCGGGAAAGGCAAGGGCATCTAAATGTTCCTTTTTTCATGAATACTTCTATGAACTAGTCTAACTGCTGACTGTCTTGTTTGACATTATTTCTATTTTAATCTAACTTACATGAAGTATCTGGTGCATCATTCATTGGATGGGATCGTTACCCTGTTACTTGTGTGGATGCTTATTTTTATCAGTTGTCATTGTTATACAGATATCAAGTCTAGCAAACTCAATCCGTATTCTTGCAAATATGGAAGATCCTGTTGGTTGTGTTGTTCGAAGAACCGAGGTAATGCGTTTAGCCCAATTTGCACTACAACTCACACCACTGACCCCTGCTTGTTTCATCTTTACGATTATTTTTTCTCAATCCCCAATCACCTCGTACTGATTTTCCCTACCAAAATAACAATAGCACTTGGTATCATGCTTATCATGGACACCCATATCTTTCACATAGCAATTTACCCTTTGTTATTCTACTTAAATTATGTCCAAAGTTTGGTTTCCTTCATTACTTTCATGGTTCTCAAGAGAATTTCTTTCAGGTTGCGGATGGGTTAATCCTGGAGAAGACATTGTGTCCCCTTGGCGTGCTTTTGATTGTTTTTGAGTCAAGACCCGAGGCCTTAGTGCAGGTATAAAGAAGTAGCTTTCAAGCTCATCATTTGCACCACTTTTCTCATGCTTTATCGTGGTAAATGTAGGTTTAATGGCCATGCATTGCATTTTCAAGTATAAACCTATTTTATTCTAGAAACTAAGTACGTGTAATTGTTTCATGCATATAGCTTTCTGTTGTGAGAAAGAATGTTTCCATATTTAGTTCTTATGTTATGCTATTAAAATTATTTTATGCAAGATCAATGTTCTGATCCACAGCATTAATCTAGATCTTAATTTGAAAAGTTAGCGGGGATATTAATTAGTTATTATATATAGCCTTGTATTATGAATAAGTAATTTAGGGAGAGTGAAAACATTTAATAAATGAATTAAGTTTGTCTTTTTTGTACAAATTCTTCTTTTCTTCATAAATTTGAGAATTCAAGCATCTCAAAATGCTCGAATGGGATCTAGCATACTATCATTGCTGCTTTCATTGCATTTTCCCATATTGCTATCTAGGGGTGTCAATTTCGGGTCACGGGTCGGGTTCGGGTCGAACCCGGAACTGATCCGAACCTGACTCAGCACTATTCGGGTCAACCCGAACCCGACCCGTTTTTGTATACGGGTCAGTTTTGTGGACCCGAACCCGAACCCGATCCGCTTTGGGTTCGGGTCTACCCGACCCGACCCGCTTTGGATTCAACATGGCACGCTGGGCCACGCTTCGGCGTTCGACAGCAGCAACAGACTCGAGTCACTCGACCGCGGGACCGTGGGATGCGCGGTAGATACGACCGCGGGACACGCGATAGACTCGACCGCGGGATCGTGCCCAGTGGCGTTGCCGAACTGGTCAGCTGGATTACGCCATCGCGGGCAGTGGCTGGATCCTGCCATAGCGGGCATGCCGGGCAGCCGGGCACTGACGCACTGGGCAGACGCGTCACGTACTCACGCGTGGCACTCGACAGCGAGTCTATGCATGCAGGCAGAATGACGCGGGTAGAGCGGGCAGACCGGGCAGCCGGGTCATTTCCGGGTTCCTGGGTCAACCCGAACCCTACCCGATTTTTGAAACGGGTCGAAAACCTGAACCCGAACTGCTTCGGGTTTGGGTCAACCCAAACCCGACCCGCTTCGGGTTCGGGTCAACCCGAACCCAAAATTTTCAGTTCGGGTTTGGTTCGAGTTTTCGGGTTGGGTCCAATATTGACACCCCTATCGCTATCTTCCATCATTGTCAAGCTCTCATCGTGCCTAAAATCGAAGCTTGCTCATTCGTCTTCCACATTCAATTTGGAACAATATCTATGTTTGAGCCATGTCCTCTGTCAATTCGTCCACCTTCATCTAGATCTTCACTTCTAATTTGATAAAATAGTAGAGCAAGTACTAGATCTCTGTATTCGACTTTTAGGTATGTGCATGGATTGAGTTTTGATAGGAAATACTTGAGTTTGCAAGTAACCCTAAGGTAATACTTGAGTTCACAAGCAATCCTAACCCAAATCGATAAGCAAACAGCAGAGAAACTGCTGTTTGTAGCAGGAAAGCAGCAAAATTCTGCATTGGATGTGTGCACTATAAAAAAGGTAGTTTAATAGTCTAACTCAAAAGCTTGTAAAATTCCTTTAATTAATATTTAAAATAATCTTTAAAGCAACTAAGTATGTATTATTTTGATTAATCAATGCAATGTTAATGCTTGATAGGTGCTGCTTAATATTTATCCTCGTATGTGGTTCTAAATACCATGTAAGGCAGATGGATAAATCAAATCCTACAACAATTTTTCTAGTAGAGCCCTTATTAATTTTGTAGCTTGAACGGGTTGATTGTAAAGTGGTAAAAAAAAGGAGAGGAGAACATAATATGATGATTCACTAATAGTGGACACAGTGCTAGGGTTGAGTCAACAACGCCTTTTATGGTGGTAAGTTTGAGGCTTAAACATAGCACAATCCCAATTCTTCTCCCTATATTTTATTTCTTATCATCTAATTATTTTATAAAACCAATTGATCCCAAGTCATAAAATAAAGACAAAGCTACTAGTATGGTAAATTAATTGATAACAAACTATAATCACATTATCTTTGAAATAAAATATTTTCTTACTTCAATAAAAATGCTGCTTTATGGAAATATATGACAAGTCTCACACTTTAAATTATATTTATTACTAATAGGATTTGATCTATAGTAGTTTTTTAGAAGGTTGCAGCTAGAGCTGCATTTTATTATGTGCATTTTTTATAGTAATATAATAAATCAAATACCTCTTATTTTGTAGTTTGAAGAATTTATTATTTGATTATTCTTCTTATTCAAAAAGGTCCCCCTCTCCCCCCCTCTACACATATATATTAAAAGAGCGCCTAATAAATGAAATAATTAACTAGCTTAATTATCTCCTCAATTTTAGGAAATAGAATCATAGGAGAATGATTTTTTTTTCTAAAATTAGGAAACATAATCATATAGGAGAATATAACAATTGATCTCTCCTTTTATTTCCTAACAATACTTTTGTAAAATAAAAACAAAATCATAGGAGAAGATGACAATTAAGCTCTCCTTTTATTCTTAAAAATAATTTCCTAACTTTGACTTTCAAATATTCAACACTCCCGTTCAAGTTGAAAAATATATATATCATATAATCTAAGCTTGCAAATTAAGTCTTCTAAATTAGGTCTAGGTAGAGCTTTGGTGAGGATGTCTGCAATTTGTTGTTTGGTAGGAATGATTTCAATTTAGTAGTCTCAATAGTCTTGTCATGATGTACGAGATTCTTAATTATAACACATCATCAGAATATGAAATGAACTTATTTGTCCCAATTCACTACGAACCCGTTTTATCCAAATCCCTTCACAAATTTCCTATGCAAAAGCTATGTACTCAATTTTTGCATTGCTTCTGGCTACTATTGATTGCTTCTTACTCTTCTATGTAACAAGATCACCCCAGACAAAAGAACAATACCTAGAAGTTGATCGTCTATCAATGATATTTCCTGCCCAATCTGCTTCTGAATACACTTTGGTGTCACGATTCTCTGTTTTTTTGAAGAACAGGCCTTGTCCTGGTGTCATCTTCAAGTTTCTAAGAATCTTGTAGACTGCTTCCATATGTTCCTTTATAGGGCAATTCATGAATTGACTTGCAACATTCACCACAAAACAAATATCTTGTCGAGTGTGTGAAAGATAAATCAAATGTCCAACAAGTCTCTTATATCTCCCACTGTCTACATATGTACTTTCTTTCTCGGTGCCAAATTTCTTCTGACTGTCCATATGAGTATCAATATGTTTGCATCCAAGCATACCAGTCTCAGAAGAAGATCTAGAATATATTTCCTTTGAAAAACAACAATACCCTTTCTTGATCTAGCCTCTTATATTCTAAGGGAAATATTTAAGATTTCCAAGATTTTTAACTTCAAACTCTTATGACAAATACTTCTTCAAATTTTGTAATTCCTCCTCATCATTCCTAGATAGAATAATATCATTGACATAGCCTATCAATATAACAATTTTCCTTGCATGAGATTTCATGGGACACAAATTATGATCAACTTGACCCTGTATGTAGCCTAACTTCAAAACAGCCTTTGTGAATTTTGTCAAACCAGACTCGGGGAGATTGTTTAAGGATGTACAAAGACTTCTTTAGTTTACAAACTTGATTCTTTGCCATACTTTCTTAAAAACTAGGTGGGATTTCCATGTAGACTTCCTCTTCGAGGTCACTATTTAGAAATGCATTTTTTATGTCAAAGTTGTTGCAAGTACCAACTTGGTTGATAGGCAATGAGAGAATAATTCTGATAGTGTTAAGGTTTGTAACATGAGTAAAAGTTTCTTGATAGTCTATCCCATAGGATTGTGTAAATCCTCAAGCTACCTATTGAGTCTTGAGTTTCTCAACTGATCCATCTTTTTTGTACTTTATATAGTGAGAATCCACTTGCACCCCATGGGACTTTTTCCAGCTAGCAAATCAGTAATAGGCCATATTCCATTCTTCTTTGCATCTATCTCATCTTGTATTTCCTTCTTCTACACTGAATTTTATAACACCTTTTGTATTGTGCTAGGAACCTGGATATCATTAAGAGAAGTAGCAAATGTTTTGTAAGATGGTGATAGCCCTTCATAAGTAACATAATTCCCAATTGGATGACTTGTACATCTCCTAAAACCCTTCCTCAATACAACTGACATGGTTGAGTCATCAATGTTAGGAATTGGAATATCTCTAGCTTTAATCGTATCTATGTTTTTTTCAGGTGGACTTGAAATTGAGTCAATATCTTGGTCACATGCTTACTGTGATTCGTGCTATAGCTTCTGTCTTTTCCTCCTAATTTAGACTTGAAAATTCTCATTAGCAAGTTGTGGAGCCATAGATTGAGTTGGCAGGGGAGAAGAAACATTTGTTGGCCAAACTGATGACTGAACATGCATGGGTGTGAAAAAGTCTTGTGTACGGTCTTTGGACAAAGCACGAGTTGAGAAGAACTTGGTGACTCTAAGTGGGCAAAGGGCATAGACTCGAGAAAGAACTCCCAAACTTCATAGTCATTCATTCTCTCTCCCTTGAACATGAGATTTGGGATAGACGGACATATGCTCAAAGAAAGAGACATCTATGATAGTGTAAAATCTTTTGTTGGTTGGAGAATAATATTTGTGCTCTTTTGATTTAAAGATTATCCTAGAAAAATATGCTTATTGGCTCTAGGATCAAATTTCCTATGATGTTGAGGATACACAAACAAATATTGTGCAACCAAATACCTTTAGTGGTAAATCAGACGGAAGCTTCATGGGTGTGAGGAAATTTTTTAGAAGTTGACATGTGTGGGCTCCGAAAATTCGTCCCCGGCCTCCGCTCGCTCTTCTTTTTATTTTCGGCGAGGGAGTTTTAACTGATAAGTTCCGGGGTAAATTTTGGAAGGCAGATGGGTTTGTAGATAAGACACTACCCAGAGATTTCGCCCTCATTTTGCGAGGACTTTATGATCTGAGTTCTGGTTTCCTATAGGCGTAAGCCCCTATAGTTAATTACTCCTCCCGATCACGAGAGAGAACTTTCGATTAAGGCTAGTCATCAATCAGATACGTTGTATCCATAGATACGTGTTATCTGGCATATAGTAGCAGTATGGGTTTGAGTATTTGAGAATTGGATTTGGATTTGGGAATATGGAGAGTTTGATATTTAAAATAGACATTTCACCATCTTGCACTTAAAGCGGATGGTGGGGGAATGGATGATGGACCCGATCAAGATCCCATGGTTCCGTCGTCCCGGGCCATCATGGTCTCTGGTCTACTTAGTCAGAGGAGGTAGTCGACCCAACCTGACAGAAGGATCCTTGTCGGCAGCCATGGGTTGCTTTGTCCAAGGGGACCTTGTAGACATAGGTTGGATGCTTGTTTAAGGGGACAAATTTGAATCCACCTTAGCTAACAGAGGGCTTTGTGCCCTATCAATCATATCCTATTGATTCATATCTCAAGGATTTAACGCCACTAAGGAGCGTATTGGCTCTGGCCATAACCGCTATATGTGGTGCCATTTGGTGGCAAAACCACTCGGTTCAGAGGGCCTCGGGTCATAACCGTTTACCTGCAGTGCCATTTGGCGAAGAAACTGCCGGTTAGAGGACACGTACCACGTCTTTACTGGCAAGAGATTGTTTGAGAATGGATCCTAGTGATATTTTCGACTAGGCATTTGGCTCTTTGTGAGCTGAAGTAAACTTTAATTTGTCCGCCCCGGCAAACTGTTGCGGAGGGTGGATGGATTTTGCTTTAAGTTTTTGATGGATTTATTTCAATTTTAAATATTTTTGGACTTTGGATGATTTTGGATTTTGTTGGGTATTGGACTTTGTGGAGTTTTTTTTTATGGACATTTGAAAATATTTGTGAACCCCTCCAGTTGAGATCTTCGTTAAACACGGCCATCATCGGGGTGTTGTGGGGTCATTTCTCTTTATGGATTGAACCTTGTCAACTCTGTCGGGATGCCGACAGAGGATCAGGTTTCGTAGGCTTTATGCCATTATTAGTGAATTCATATTGTTGTAGGCCTTAAAGTCCTATATGAATGTTTTAAAGCAAATATACCGGTCGCCACAACTTTATGTTTGCTTAATGGTTTGAACCCTGTCGACTTCTATTGACCCATATAGGAGGATCGGTTTCGAACCTGAATTCACTTGTTGACCCGCGCAGTATCCCTGGACGTTACGTGTGTACCAATAACACGCTCGCTGGGGCCCATGCGGGTATCGATTGTATTTACCCCTTTAGTGTATCTATGTGTATACAATTTATGGTGCACGTGCAAGGGGTTTCTTGAAAGTATTTATAGCATCCTAAACATGGAGATTGAAAATTAAGGACTCATGATGGCGTACAATTGATCAAATAGGTAACTTTGTCAACACAAGAACTCATGTGAATAATCCCATGATTCTGAAGGTAGGTATTAAAACTACTAGTCAAGTATTCCCTAGCATTGTGACTTGAGTACTTGAATTCTAGAGTTGAATTGATTTTGAACCATAAGATTGAAGGTTTGAAAAATTTGCCCAATCTCAGACTTTTCTTTCATAAGGAAAACCTAAGTTACCCTTCTATGATTATTAACAAATGTTACAAATCATCGAGTGCTCGAAACATTTTTTATCGTTCAGGGACCCCACACATCACTATAGATCAAAGAAAATGTTGTTGAAGGTTTGTATGGAATTTGATGATCTACAGTTTGAGTATGCTTTACAATATGACAAGTTTCATAATGAAAAGATGCAAGACTTTTTTTGATAAATAATTTTTCAAGATACACAAAGCTAGAATGACTAAGGCGATAGTGTAACAATACAATTTTACTATCTTTATTGATATTAGAATTGGACACACAATTGAAATATTTTAATACACTATGAGATATGACGCAACTTGCTAGAGAAACATGGTTTGAGGATCGGTCACATTGGAGAAGATAGAGCCCAGAGCACAGTTTAACACTACCAATCATCTTCCCCGATTTCAAATCCTGATAAACATACAAGTTTGAATAAATTTAGTAACACATTGAAGGTCACGAGCCAATTTGCTAATGGGCAAAAGGTTATAATACAAGTTCGGAACATGGAGGACATAGTTGAGATACAACTCTTTAGTAAGTTGGATGGAACCTGTTCCAATAATTTTAGAATTTTAACCATCATGAGTATGGACGGATGAGTGACCACCACTTAGCTTATAAATTTGGAGAAGAGCAGCATCTCCTGTCATATGATTAGAAGCACTAGTGTCGAGTGTCGACTATCCATGACTTCATGTCTCCCTTGTTAGTAGTGAAGGCAGTATGTGAATATGTTTGAGCAACCTAACTTGTCCCAGTAATGTTACCACTGCCAACTTGACTAAACAATTTATGCTGCAAATCCATATGCTCTTTGCTAAATGGGCTATGCTCAAGAATATGAGCACTCTTAGAGTTGAAGCCACATGTGCTTTGCCATCTCTATCAAACCATCGCTATGATCTTCAATCAGTTGGTTTGCCTCGGAGCTTCCAATAACTTTCCTTGTAATGACCTAATTTTTTACAATAATCACACCAAGGCCTTTCAAGTTTATGATGATCTCCACCATTACTATTAGATGATCGGACAACAAGGGCATATGCATCTAACATTGATGCGGGTTTTTTCTTAGATCCCATCATTACTTTCTTTCTACTTTCTTCACGCCTAACCTCTGAGAAAGCCTCCCTAAGATTTGGTGGTGGCCCATGATTCGACCTCGAACATCATCCAACTCCCTGTTAAGTTCTATGAAAAACTTGAACAACCTTTTTTGTTACACAAATTCTTGTACATTACTACATCTTTTGGATATGTCTATGAGCGAGTTTCAAATAAGTCAAGTTGTTGCCAATACCGTGTGAGTGTATTGTAATACTGAGTAACATATTGCTCTTCTTGGCGGAAGTTATGAAGTACTGATTAAACCTGAAACAACTTTGAAGTATTTTCAGAGCTGGATCCCATATTTCTTTTGCAGTCCCAAACAACAAGAAATTTTTACAAATGTCATTGTTTATGAAATTGAAAAGCCATGACATTATCATACTATTTTCAATCTTCCACTTTTTGAAACCTGGATTTATAGTCTTTGGCATGGTTACAGCTCCCGTGAGATACTCATCCTTCCCCTTTCCACAAATGAATAACACTAATTGTGACCACTACAAATAATTATGACCATTTAATTTTTGTCTTGTGATGAGAATAGGAGAAGAATCACTGCCACCAAGGTTTGAAATTTTTGAACTCCCTGCTTATGGTGTCGTGATGTCGCATGCTTGTGATGAAGCCATTCTGTATTGCAAAGAAGAAGATGAGGGAGAAGAAGGTATGAGGTTGCTCAAAATATAGAGGAAGAAGAAGGCCGGGACAAATTTGTCAAAGAGAGGCAGCTTGAAGGGATTAGGGTTCAGAGAACTAGCTCTAATATCATGAATAATTTTTTATTTGATTATTCTTCTCATTTAAAAAGGTGCTACATACATATATATATATATATAAAGAGTGCCTAATAAAAGAAATAATTAACTAGCTTAATTTTTGTCTAAATTTTAGTAAACAAAATCATAGGAGAAGTTCACAATTGATCTCTTCTTTTATTCTTAAAAATGCTTTCCTAAAATAAATTCCCTAATGTTGACTTTCAAATATTCAACATAGTTGACACTCTATTTGAACAATATCACACTCTCTCAAATATCTAATCTTTTTTCAAAATGAAGAAAAAAACATATTACAATTATGCCATGTGGATCTAAGTGTTAGGCATTAAAAAGTTACGGTCAATCATATTGAATATTGCATAAATGAGGAATATAGATTTTATGATAATTTAGGAATGAAGCAAAAACATGCTAAATGAATTTATGTTAAAACTACGTAGAATATAAGAAAAAATGATTATTTTATAGAGATAGTCGAAGTAAGACTAATTGATGATAAGGTAGAAGAAAATCAATTTGAGTGGTTTAGGTATGCATGGCTATGGGCAAATAGATCAAAGCCAAGATAACTATTTTTTGTGCAAAAAATGCTTTAACAATATTTAATATCTTATGTACACTTAGTGATGCTTGTGGCGATGATGATGTTTTTTTTCAAAATTTAAATTTATGAAAAATTTATTGTGATTGGTTGAATACTTGATTTTTGGAAAACATATGTCAAAGTTGTATGTTTTGGAAATTCACGGACCAATTTGCAAATAATCTGATACATAGTGGGGCCAAAGTACAAAATGCTAAAAACAGTACTCAATCATTGCATTATTGTAGGTTTGGTAATTTTGTCGTTTTTAAACATATTATTTAGATGAATTTAGTCAAGAAATTAGGATAAAACTTATGTTATTTTGATGTTGATATTAGAAACTACCGAAGTTGTTTAGGGTATACTTTTGCATGTTAGCATTGCATTAAGATTTTCTTTCTCCCGAAACTTTGGTTCTTTGGGTGGTCTGATATTTAGCGCTCTTTCATTCCTTTTCCTCCTTGATATTAATATGAATATAGATTGCGTCCTTAGCTATTCGAAGTGGGAATGGTCTTCTCCTCAAAGGTGGGAAAGAAGCCATGAGATCTAATATGGTTTTGCATAAGGTACCGTCTTTCATAACCATTTGGTTACAATATGATGATTATCCGTTTAGATAGTACTCATGATAGGTTTTTATGAATTTATCCTATTATTGTTATAGATTATTACTGAAGCTATCCCAGAAAATGTGGGTCAAAAACTTATTGGTCTTGTTACGTCAAGAGATGAAATTCCTGACCTACTAAAGGTTAGACATCTAAAAAAAGTGAAAAAATTTTCCTTTTTGGAGCTCATAATTCGGAAGTCATATTTTGAAAGTGTTCCAGCTTGACGATGTGATAGATCTTGTTATACCAAGAGGCAGTAGCAGGCTTGTTTCTCAGATCAAGGAGTCCACCAAGATTCCTGTTCTAGGCCATGCTGGTGAGATATGTTACAGATTCGCTTGCTATAATTGATACTTCCTGCCTTAACCTGACGATTTGCAAGTTGCTGTCAACTACTTTTTCTTTCTAGATGGGATCTGTCATGTTTATATTGACAAATCCGCTAACATGGAAATGGCTAAAAAAATTGTTCTGGATGCAAAGACAGATTATCCTGCAGCTTGCAATGCTATGGTAAGTGTTCATTTCTTTGAAAATTGTTGATGCATAATTGTATAGCTTTTGCCATTTCTTTGAAATGCATTTTAGTTATCTTTTATAACATTTGCCAGCCCCCAACTCTGAGTTCTCTTTTATTTTATTTTTCCAGGAAACACTTCTTTTACATGAGGATCTTTTGAATACTAACGGGCTTCATGATATATTAGCAGAACTTAGAAGTGAAGGTATTACGGTCACGCTGGTGCACATCACATCCATCACAATCATCATTAGTTCTGTATTTTTTTTCTCCTTACGCTCACAATCTGCAAAACTAGTGCATGTAATTTTGTAAAGCGCTTTTGTAGAAGTTTGTTTTTGATAGAGAACCTTCTTCCGTGCATATTCACAGAGCCCTTCCGTGTTTTCTACACTTCACAACCATTTTAAAGCAGATTGCATGAAGGCTTTGGAAGGTAGGGTTTCGGAGGTAGTAGATGCTTAGTTTTTCCATTACATAGCTCTAAGTGCTCACGGAGAGAACGAGCTTTCAAAGCTAGTTCATTGGTTGCATAACCCTAATTCTGCTTAAATAGGGATAGTTATAGCATTATAAGATAATGGTCTATTAAACACTTTTTAACTATCTAATGCCTGATATTAACCTATGACCTTCTTATTACATTTATTACGTAACTACATTTATTACGTAACAATATGACTGGTTGAAAGCTATTTTCTTATTCAATATGAGTATCTACTACCTAGCATTCTATCAGGATTGATATAGTTCTATGATATTCTTTTCATTTTTCTTATTATTAGTTCCAACACTTCTTTGCTATTGTTTTTTTTTTTTTCTTTTTTTTTTCTTTTATGTTATAATTTTAAATTTGTCTTTACTTTTCTTTTTGTGAAGTTCTACAGAACTTAATTATTCTGTTTCAATAGAAACTTTTCATAATACATTTTCTACTTTGACCAGAAACCGAATTTTACTTCTTCGGTTTGTATAAATTCTTAAATTTTTTATTCACTTATCCGGTTTTTATAAAATTTTATTATTTATTTATTTATTGTTATTTTGTGATTTGAAAAAAAATCGGAATATGAAAACCCGGTTTCTTAAGAAGCTTAAGAAATTCCGATTTCTTAAGAAACCAGATTTTTATATTCCGGTTTCCTAAGAATCGGTAATAATTTTTTTTGTCAATTGGCCTTTTAGAATGACAAGCAGTTCAGCCTCTTTGATTAAAAATTAAGAATTAAAAATTAAGGAATAAATTTTGGTTTTTTCTGGCTCTACCGCTGCGTGTTTAGCTTCCGATTAGTAAAATGTGGTTTTAATTGGGCAAGGTAATCCAAACGAGAACCACCAAAGGCTCATGGACAACTATTTTAATGTATTCTAACATTCAAGATGACACGACAAACATAACTATCTTAATTTAGCCCCCCCCTCCATAAATAAAATTTGACTCTGCCACTGCATGTAGAATTCATAATTCCATATTAAGCTTTAGTCAATGTTAGTCAGATAAAGAATAATGTCATAAGAAATTATTATAGGATTTTGTTGCTAAAGTTAAACTTCAAGCTGCTAGCCCATGTTATTTACTTCATACAATCTAGTCTTGTCTTCAAGTTGCAGATGAGTCATAAGCTAATATCCTTGACTGACTAAAAAAAAATATTCATTCTGGGTGTTCCAATATAGACCTTTTTGTCTAGTTGTCTACCCATAACCAAATTCCTCATTTGAGGGAGAAGCTGATTGGGTCACTCATGCAGATGAGTCAAATTGGGGAAAAGCACATGTTCAAGCAGTACTTTACAAATATATAGGCTCTTTGTTTTTGCTACTGTTGGCCTGATTCAATTCATTTATGTGCACTTCTTTGTTCCACCAATCTAATGGCTATCTTAGTTCAAGAAAGGAATAATTTGAATTTTTCGTAGACTTGTTATAACCTCTTTGTTTTTTATTCTATAAATAATTTTTGTAAGTATGATTTAATACTGATCATTAGAGCTCATTTAGTCCGAGCCAGATCTAGTACCTGCACACATTATGATCATCCATTTTTTTTGAAGTATTTTTCATAACACGTAATTCAAATAAATGCTTATATTTTATACCTTTCGTATTAGAATGCACTAGAGAACCCTATAGATTAACTTTTCCATTCAATTTCGGCATAAATTTACTTCATAAAGAGGCATTATTAGGGTTTCTCCTATTTATTATTGTTCTTTTTTCATTTATGCTTGCATGCATGAAGAAATATATAAATAAGCATGTTAGGTCTCCAGGTCACTGTAGGGATCATGCTTTTTGTAGATACATAAGCAAAGGACCTGCTTGCCATGCCTCCATGATGCTAGTGAAGTTTGCCTTTCTAAATGATCCCTATATTGCTTGCATAGGTGTTGTTCTCTTTGGTGGACCTCGAGCAAGTCTGGCATTTGAAATACCGGGAACAAATTCATTTCATCATGAGTATAGCTCAATGGCTTGTACGATTGAAGTAGTTGATAGTGTGCTTTCAGCAATTGAACATATACATTCTTATGGAAGGTATGCAGCATTCTTGAGATTGTTTTACATTGGGAATGTGGATTCAGTGGAGGACGCCATCTACTTACTGTTGGTGAAAAAAATGACTCTTTTTTGGTGCCTTTTAATTTTGCAGTGCGCATACTGACTGCATAATAACTGAAGATAAGGAAATTGCAGAAATTTTCCTTAACCAGGTTGACAGGTACGTTGTTGTCTTGTCAGTTGAGATTTATGAAATGTTTCATCACTTTCTTTGCTTTTGCATTATTTTTCTGTTCTTGAATATTATTATATGTGGAAACTTACTGTATACTAGCATGCTTTCCTTGCAATGCACAGTAAAAAGAATATTTAATAAAGAAAGGTGCATTTAACTACACTAATTTATTATTGGTATATATTGACTAGTTTTAACCCAATGTAAGGAATATTGATGCAGGCTTAAACATATTATTCAATGTTCATGAATATTGCGATGTGGAACCTCACGTTTACAACCTTTGGTAGTAATCCTAGTTACATTTTGGCAATTAAATCATGGGTGACTAATATGTGATAATTTCTTCTATTTGAGTTTGCATAAAAGGTTTCAAATAGTGATTGTGTATGAAAGTTCTCTTCCATGAGTGTGATATCCTGTTGGTGTGAAGCTTGAAGGAACCGGTGGAATCATGCCTAGCTTATTCATTTTCTTTCTCTTTTACCTTAATTAATCAGCTCTTCTTTTCATCTCTTCGTCATCTTTTATTGATCTTCTATTGAATATAGTTGTGCAACCTAGGGATTATCAATAAGGCCAAACTAGAATTCAGATCTATCATCTACAAACAATAGTTGCAGGGATTTAGATTGATTTCATTTATTGTTGATTTTGATCTTACAAGGTTAGGTTTTCTAAACTTTTTAACCTCACGGTTTCTTAGTTTCTTAATTATGGAATCTATATTGAGATTTTAAGTTTGATTCTACGCAAGATGACAATTTTCTTGGGTTACTTGAGCAATTTAATATTTTTTGTGCCCCACAAAATTTCATGAGTTGTGAACTGTGGACTAAGTCACATTAAGTCTCGTGTTGATCTAGTTGAGTGTATTTAATTTCAAGGATCCATGAACTATAGACCATCCTAAGGATTTTGTGTATTTTCCTCTTATTAAAGGTACCAATCGAAATGATATTGATTCTGAACATCACGGTGAAGACCTTGATTATAAAATATGAACATTTTGTCATTTCATAGGCATGTTAGATCACGATTCCACAACCTCTAGATACCAGTGTTGGACTAACCTGCTGGAACTCTCCTTAGACAACTCCATGTCCTAGCCTTCAAGAACTTATTTTGTGGCGGTTACTTTGCAACTATAAAGTATTATGAATTTCTACCTTGTAGCCTTTCCATGTACCTCATTACTGCCACCGATGTTATGTTGTTGCTCCTGAATGCTACAATTGAGATGTGGATGACATTATAACCAATAAAGGAAAAATGAAGGCACCTTAATAAGATGGTAGGCTTTGACCCAAAAACCTATAATGACTAATTAATATCATTGATCATTAGGCTGAGTGTTTGGAACTTTTTGACAATCTTTGATCCCATTTTCCAAGATGAATTTGGTTAGAAAAGATAAACTTCATTTGATCAGAATGGTGAGACAATTGTACTTAAAATCTCTTGGTATTTGAGAGATGTAAAAGAGATTCTTATGTAAAAGCATCTCATAACAATCCATCAATACCATTTGATGGATAAGTTCTCTATCCTTTAGACAGGGTACATTTTCGTTTGTCTATTACTTGGATCACTTTGTCAAAAAGATGGTTCGTTATGTAGCAAAGAACCTACAATAGAACTTGCATGGATTCCACACTCAGCTACGGGCAAGCTATTATGTATTGTTTCATTCATTATTTACTTTGAAGGTAGTCTAAGATGATTAATTGTCAACAATGAATGACTATATAACATGTTTAGGATTAGTTGGGCTATTTACATACTGATATAGCCATCAATAAGATATGTTGGGAAACATAGCTACTGCTTCTCAATAGATATTCTTTATTCAAAGAATAATTTTGATATTTTCATTTAGAGGGCTTGCGAACTATTTTAAAAATGAATGAATGGTAATAAATTTTAATATGATGGTATCATTTTGGATTTGAACATTTGATGTCTTATTTAGAAGGTAGGAGCAATTACTAATTGTTCAACTGATAGATGATGTTTTAATATACTAGTAGCTCTACTGTGCATTTTAAATTCATTTAGCTTAAATATAAGGCATTTTCACATTACACAACAAGAACATCAAATCTTTATCTCACTACGTGGGGTCAATGAAGGATAATTTCTGCTACAAAGCTTGAGAAGTTTATAAAATATAAGCAATTCTTATATCTTTAATATATGATTGAAATTATTGGCATTATGTTATATTTAGACTGGTGCCATATCTTAACAAATGAATTGAGGAAATAGGAGTTGGTGCAATCATGTAGACAAATTGAGGAATAGATCCTTTTTCTAAAAGGTAATAATGCAAATTAAATATTTGAATGGCACAAGTGGGGTGTGTTGATAGAATTGGGTCAAGTTGATAGATATCTCTGGTGCGTGTAAGCTCATTAATTGTTGAATTGGACAAGTGGGTTTTATTTTGGTATTCGGCCAAGTAGATAGGGTTCTTCTGGTGCTCCTATTGTTCATGTCTGCAAAGATGAAAGAATAAGGTGAATTATTTCTTGAAATTTTGTTTCTATAAAGATATGCGATTTTGAGATGGCCTTGTTGCATTGCAAATAACATTGGCTATTCAAACTCATTTTATTATGTGAAGGGGTTTAGTTAATTAGTTATTGGGGCTAGCAAATTCAAGAAGATCATTTGCTTTTGTTGTAACAAGGAATGTCACATAAAGAGGGATTGTGTAGCCTTACAGGAAAAAGAGTAAGAAACATGTGCTAATCATAGGGAGAAGTTAAGCAGATGTAAGTGTAGTTGCAGATTGTTTTGCCTCTATTGATGCTCTTTTGGAGACTTTTATTAGGTGTAAAGAGTAGTAGATTATGAACTCAACTTATTCTATGCACATGTGTTACGATTTGGAGATATTTTCCACGTATTAAATAAGTTTTGGTGGTTTCATGTGGGTGGGAATAAAGCTATATGCAAGACTAGAGGTTCTGATGTCAAGCTTCAGAATTAAATCTTAAACCTAATCATCTCAACCACAATATCACATATACGAGAGCCGACTAAATAATTCAAACTAATTGAAATATCATAAAAGATCATCAAAATTTAATTTTCAAAATAATCATTTACAAATAACTCAGTCCAAGTTCATTCTATGCATCAAAAGAAAATAATTGAATTTTATAAATAATCCAAACTAATTAAATAACGTAAAAGATCATCAAAATTGCATTTTGAAGAGAATCATATATAGATAATGTAACACCCCACAGTATCACTATACTGTACTGTAGAGTATAACAAGAATCACTATAACATTTCCATCATTTACTTCTGAACTTCTGTTGAGTTCATTTCAGATCTAAATAAAAGATCATATAAACATCATTTGGAATAACAAAGGAAGCATCTAATAATTTTCCAAATTTCATTACATCAAAGATTTTATACAGAGCCACTAATGAAATCCAAATAATTCAAACTATTACAATATTAAACAAGTTTACTAACCTCAAGAGTAGATTTCAAAATTTAAATAAACATTGACATAAAACTTAAATACTTGCTTATCAATCTTCCACAACTTTTTCTTTTTCTTTTTCTTTTCCTGTAAAAACATTCAGTAAGAAGTAACTGGTGAGTTATGAGGCCCAGCAAATTATGTAATCTAAATTATAATTATAATATAATTAGAGAAATAAACTAAAGCACTGAAGTCATAAATCATTAAACTCACTTATTATTAATAACAACATCATAAATCTTAATTAGCATTATTCTTTACCTCTTCGAAGTTATATTGAATATCAAATTAAATATGTAAAAGACTTGGCTATGCATTCAGAGTAATATTCAATGGAGCCCAGGTAAACATGGCATTATCACCATTGAATTATATTGAGGTCACTTTTGTCTCATTAGGGGTCCTTTTTGCCCCACCTGCTACGTAGGTATCTTTTCTTTCGGGGTCCCTTTTGCCCCACCTACAATACATGTTTATTAATCGGGCCCCTTTTTCCCACATGATATTGCAGACATCACATCATAGAATAGCCAATCTTTATTTTTAACTTGATATTCCTTACATCATACCTTCATAATTCATATTTGATCTTAATGGTTGCAACCTTAAGTATGCTTATACTCATAAATTTGGTGTATTAAGAATTTGATAGCTACTAAGTAAAAGAAAACTTCTTTGCATAAAAAATTTTGTCTATTAAGAAAAGGTTGAAATAAACACATTAAAACATCTAACAAACCTTTCTTATTCTCAAGAATAGATATTTGTGAATACCCCAATGTATTCTCATGATGATAATAAAATTCTCATAAGACATTTCATTATAATAAAAATTTCAAAGCATAAAGGATAGACTAATCATTCATAATCATTATAATTAGAAATAATTACATAACTTACCTTCCTCACGAGTGGTCTCTTCAAAACCTACACCACGAAGCCTTTGCCTTTGATACACTCTCCCAAAACCTTCTTTCTGCATAAATTCAAATAATTCCTACATCCAAGGCAACCATTGACATACTCATTTCGAAAGTTAACACTATATATATATTTATAAAGAATTTACTACTCAATTAAATACTAAATACATACCTAACTTCCCTCTTAACTTTCTTTCAATCCACTGCTTCTTCAATTAGTTTGTACACTTCCTTTCCCTACAAGCCATTACAGAAATTCACCTTAAACATAACCAAATCTTTGCTACAGTTTACTGTTCACTGTTTTCCAAATTCCTTTGCACCCTTGCACCCTTGCATCAATTTACAATCATCACATATTCTATATTAATTAAATTTAAATTTTTGATAACAGGTTTTTAAATACCTTTTAAATTACTGCTTCTGAATTCTTCAGTTATGCACAACTTGCTCTTCCTTACTCTCTTGAATCCAATGCACTACCAAGCTCCCTTAATGAATTCCAGCAACTATGCTGAAATCATCCACAAGCAGGAAATGTGTTGAATGTAGAACAGGGAACTTCAGCACTGTGCTGAAAACCCCACTGATTTCCGCTTCCTCCTACAGAATTTTGTGATATTTTCTTCTGCGCAGTTGCGGCAAAGTTACTGTTTTCTTCCCAGACTTCTGAAATTGCTACAGTACCCGCCTGCTGCTTAATCGGGCCTAGTGAACATTCCCTCTTCCTTACTCTCTTGAATCCAATGCACTACATCTTACCGTCCTCTACTTGGCTAGACTTTTCCCTTTTCCTGAAATTATGCATAATATATAGAGTAAGCGATTCATATGCTCAGTAGACTATACCAACTCCTGTAATAGAAATCGATTCACTTTGTCACACGACATGCTGACCCCCTATCAATTGACACAGGATGTAACAGAAGAAAACATACGATTCCCAACATTCATAACTCATAATCATTAAAAAAATATTCATGTCACATTTCACCACATTCATCTATAAAGCGGAAGCATTTAAAATATTTCATTTATATCATATGTATATATTTACAAAGCAACTAACAAACCAAGAATATTTTCATAACAAATAGCCCAGATACGTGTACTCAGGACTCATCTACACAATAAAACTTAAATAACCAAAAAAAAAAAAAAAGAAGAAAAAAAGAAAGAAAGAGAAAAAAGAGGCAATGCAAGGAATTCAGGCACTTCTAATTCTCATATCCTTAACTCATAGCTCCTTCACTTGTGCCTCAATTGCAGAAAACATATCCAAGCTCTTTGAAGGTTGGATGAAAGTCTCTCCATTTCACACTCTGTGATAGAAGGAAAATTTTGCAAGCATCAAATGATAAAATAAGGCATTGATATCAATAATTACATCTGCCAATTGCTGTTCTAAGCTTATGATCTTTACTAGCTATGCATGTAAGCCAAGAGGAATTCATGCATAAAATGCATAAAAGTCTTGTTTGATCATACTTCTATGGAAGGAGAAGCACAGAACTTATATAGAAAATGGGTTATATGATGCAACTGTTTCATGAATCATATGAAATTAGTAAACATGACGGTCTTCTTTTGAGCCTTGATTTGGTTGTGACGGCAAATCTAAGCTTGATTGAGCTTGGCAGCAACTTTGAGGGTGTTAAAGAATATACGTATACATAAATAAATATAAAGTGAAACCTTCTAAAAGGATTCTTCTACATATCTTGGTGCATTTGATGTGGATTTTGACTATAAATCTTAAGTTGCTTACAATTGATGACTGAGTGGAGAGGTTGAATCATGGTTAGAGTTGGTAAATGGGGGCAATGTTGGTAGAGGTAGTTGTCCGGGAGGAGATTGGTGATTGGATTAGATCAAAATGTTTGCCACTTGGTTGACATAAGATCTGGCGCATATACAATGTCGCTAAAATGTATAGTGGAGAGGAATACAACAACAACAACATCAAGCCTTTATCCCACTACATGGGGTCGGCTACATGAATCCTTTTTCTCCATTGTGTCCTATTAAAAGTCAAATTCTCGTTTAAATCTAATAAAGAAAGGTCATTCCTAATATTTTCTAACCAAGTCTTTTTAGGTCTACCCCTACCTTTCTTAACATAAGTCAAATCTAAAACCTCTACTCTCCTAACCGGGACGTCATCACAAGGCCGCCGTTTTATGTGACCAATTGAAGACAACACAATATATATATATATATATATATATATATTGGATTCCTATATTTCTGCTATGTCAAGAGAGAAATGATGCGGACATCCGACGGTGGACATTAATCAAAGGAAGAGACGTAGATCGACGGCCGTGATCCCTTCATTTTATCTTAGTTTATTAATTGTAATTTTTATTTAATTATGCATTTTTTTTCTTTTTTACCCTTAAGGGACTTGTTTTATGTAAGCCCGAGGGCAAAGTTGTCTTTTAGTTTCTTTTAAAGCCTATATATAGAGGCCTTTGCTCTTATATTAGATAATGATGGATTATAAAAAAAAAGAATTAGAGCCTTTGTCTTGATCTCTGTGTGAGTTCTGGAGAGGAGAAGTCATATGGGAGGACATTCTTGTTTCCACCAGCCGCGGGATGGATTCGGGCTTGTGGATTGAAGTCCCTCGGGGAGGGTAACGTAGTACCCACCAGCCGCAGGAAGAGTCCGGGCTCGTGGTTTGTTTCTTTTTTATTTTATTTTTTTTCTTTGTTATCCGTCCTCTCATCTATAGTCTCCATCACTCACCATCCGTTTTTATTTTATTTCGTTTGATTTTGATTAACTTTTCTTTTGGATCAAACATCCATAGTCGGCCGACCACCTCACCCCTAGCCTCTTCCCTCCACAAATTTTGAATTTTTGATTCAAAATAACCTCTTGATTACCTTCATAAATTAGATTTTGTTAATTCGGAAAGTCATTCAATTTTGAATTCAAATAAATTTGAATTTCAAAACATTTCCAATTTAATAAATTCTACATTAGGGAGCCTCCTCAAATTACTCTCAATCAGAAATTTATTTCAGATTTAATTCGCCCAATACCATTTAATGCTTGATCCACATATGTTGTATGTGGACACTTCTCCTCCCTCTCCATATGGCCGGCCCCCTCTCTCATCTCCTCTCAAATTAATGCATCTCCATTAAGGCCCTCAATCAACTCAAATCATCCCTAGTAACTGCCGGTCCCCATCCCTCATCAAATCCCAATTAATGCCTTCCCAATTGAGGTGATTTGAAATTCAAATTTTCCCTTCACTTCCCCCTTTTTTGAAATATGAAATTAAATTTAGATCTTAATTATTCAAATGACCCCTCCCCCCATATCCGTTCTACATCAAGAATAGTGGGGATTCTGGATTTATACTGTTTCTATGAGGCTTGTTTTTGAGATTTGTGCTATGAGAACAACACACTAAGGTTGGACAAAGTGGGAATAATAGTAGAGGGAGAATCACTGGTGAGATATAAGTTGGGGAGACTAGAATAGTTGGGTGTACAAATATTTTATCCTTGGATTATGAATATTTCTTTATGGCTGGCCGTGATTGTGGGTGATCTATGATGCACCGACACATCTCTTCAAAGAGGCGTGCAGTGTCCGACACCGTATCCGACACCGTATCCGACACGACACTCGTCCGACAATTATCGAACACGCCGAAAAAGTGTCCGATTAAAAAATATTAAATACAAATTGGACACGCATGTCCGACCTGCGTATCTTAAATATTTTATGAATTTTTTAAAATATAATTTATTGTATTTGATGAGATTTAAGTTAAATTTCTTATTTCATATCCACAACACCAAATCAACGTCCACACTTAATGCCCAATCATCAAATATTCTCATTTTCTTTTCTTTTTGGCAGTGAAGGTATTTTCATCTCCTCTATTGGTGACTGATAAACGGCATCGACGTCTTACTCTCGACATCCTAATACTAATCATTTTAAGCACAAATTCTAGTTAAATGACTTATTATTTTCAAATTATTTTTAAAATTATACTTATTTAATTTTGTACACTATTTTTTAAATATAAAAACTATAATACCGTGTCCAACCCGTGTCTGTGTCATATATTTTCAATAACTGAAATGTCCTGTGTCCGTGTCGTGTCGTATCCGTGTCGCCGTGTCCGTGTCCGTGTCTGTGCATCATAGTGGGTGATCTTAACGATCTACATAAATTCTCATGTGTTTTTTTGTTTGCAGCTTTATTGTTGTCCATTCTCCTTGATCATATTATTGTTTTTTCGCATGCACATTTTTTTGAACATAGCTACCCTTTGATAGTTTAACCAATGAAGCAACGAACATCATGCAATTCCAATATTCTAAACTTTTTTCGTTGAAAATATTTCATTCATACTGGACTTGTGGGAATTCAAAGGAATCTTACAGCGCTGGATGCAATTCTAATCCTTTTTTAAATTTACTCTGCCATTTACTTTTCTTTCTGTTTAGGGATAGCATCAGCTAACGATATCCTGACACCATTAAAAATTTGTAGACAATCAAAGATGGATGCTATAAATTTTATTTTATTTTGTCATGTTGAAGTTATTGGTAATTTAACAGTGGGATGCTGTCCCACAATTATTTTTTTGATGGCAGTGCTGCCGTCTTTCATAATGCAAGCACACGCTTTTGTGATGGAGCTCGTTTTGGTCTTGGTGCAGAGGTATGATACGCTTGGATATGTTTTTTTTGGCTTCTTTTGATTTTAATGATATTTTAGACATTTTTTTTCTTTTGTTAATTGCTGAGAAGGTTGGTATAAGTACAAGTAGGATTCATGCTCGAGGCCCTGTTGGTGTTGAAGGACTTCTGACGACAAGATGGTATGCGTGATGATATATGCTCCATAGACTTGGGCATTGTATCCCACATTTCTTGACCTTTAAAACTCATTCAATAGTTGCAATTTCTTTTTCCCAAACTTGCTTCTCGTGATATGTGACATTTCGATTTCAGGCAGAGCAAAAAGGATTCTTGTTTGCGTACAATGAAAACAGGCAATTATCTGTGATAAGCATGTTGGATTATTTGGAACTATATAAGAATAAAATTTAGAACGGAATACTCATTGTAATGATTTAATCCTTTTGATATTTCATTTAGATATCTGAATTATTCCTTTGGCAATACCATTGACAATTAGTTGAGATAGGGCTACTGATGATGATGATGAATTGTGCCAACCTATACAAATAAACTTTATCTTAGATATTACAGTTTTGATGCCTCCAAATCTTTAGCGTAAACAAGTTCAAAGGGTTTTAAGTGGATTGTAGGCTGGGGACATTGTAATAAAAGGATAGATATCCATAGTTGTAAAAAGGATAAATATCCCTAACGGCTTCTTATAGGCTTATTTATTAGCATTTGTTAGGATATTATTAACATTTTCATTTTATGGGTGTTTATTGCCATGATCAGAGTGGGAATCACTTTACTAGTTATTCCATATTGAAGCCTCAATCTGATTTTTCCAAGAAGAAAAATATTATCGAATTATCATCAAACTGAACACTGTTACAGATATTTAAAGAAAATGATTATCAGAAGCCAGAAGAGTTTTTAACTTACACTATACTATGCCCACGGTTTCTATCCAAATATCAAATCTGTATCCAGCAATTTTAGATGAACCATTTTCCATGAACACATATTACATACAATTTTCAACCTATGTATTACAGTGCATTTCTTTATCTGATATTTTATTACATTTTTTAATTTACTTCTCGACACGTTGTAGAATTGTTTGTGTTTTGTTCATAATCTGACTTCTGCTACCTTAATTTGCCGATATGAAGGCTATTACGAGGAAATGGTCAAGTGGTAGATGGAGATAAAGGCATCATTTACACCCACAAGAATCTTCCGCTTGAGTAAGCTCATTTCTCACTATTAATCCGTGATATTGATTCTTTCCATGATGTTCTTTGTGCGCTTAGACTGCTGAACTCTCCCCTAGTTCAATGGAATAGTTCGTAGATTTTTAACTTTGAATTTTTGTCTTCTGTATGCAAGAATGTCATGGCCTGATTTATAGATTTCTTCAGGAGTTTGTTTTTTCTCTATGCAAAGATGTTGCATAGACTTGCCCACTGATTAAATTTGCTAAATCATGCTGTGGTAGGGGTACTTAATTTATATTTTTTCCAACTAGCTTTCTGCAATAATCAAGTGTTTTAAATAGTTGAAAGTTAAAAATAAAAAAAGAATAATTGATAATTTTGTTTGGAAATGTTACAATTGTTGCTAAATTTAGTTGAGGAATTATTCTTGGAAAAAGTAAAGTTTTTGAAATTTGTGGTAATTATTGACTTTTTTTCCTTTAGAAAAAGTTGGATGATAATTTTCTGTTTTGTATCACATTCAAACTATTTTGTTTGCGAAAATCACCTCTAATCATAAAAATTTCTAGATAATAGTTAGAAATTTATAGCCAGATAGAAGGGTGATAGTAGTTCAAAATAAAGGTGTCAAAAAGCTATCCCAGCCATAACCTGATTCAAAGAGACGCGTGTTTTCTGTTCTTTTCAGCAAAATGTTGAGAGAAGCAAATTGCTATGTATTACCGTTGTACTTGAGACGTGCAGTTTTTGTAATCCCCCATCAATCCGAAGGATGGGTTCATTTCACATTCATAATTAATAAACAAGTTAAAATTTTTTGTCAAAACTGAAAATTTCAAATTTCACTGAGATTTGGGTGTCGTCCACAATTGTAGAAGTTGGTTGGAAAATTTCCAAACTAGGCTGGCCCCTTGTTTGTTGTATAGCGGATGATGCAAATTATCTTACTCATGCAGCACATCACAATCATTCGGTCCATCTCCATTACTACATTATCTTTTATACTTTTATTTTTTGTTTTTTCCGTATGTTTCAGTTTTTTGGCTGTTATTGCTATATTAGTACACTTCTCTAGTTTGTAGAGGAGGATAATATAGAAAGAATTATAGGTGGAGATAGTGAAGAAATATAAAAGAAAGTTCGTCTCAACTCTGTTTTGGAGCACCCCCCCCCTCCCCGGCGTTTTCAATTATTTACAGGTTTCTATGCTAGATTGGCATCAGAGCTCGACAACGAGTGTTAATGGTGGAAGGTAGCAAATGACCAGCTCTCGATGATCTTGTGACGGCTCAATTAGATATCACATGCCAAGTAGAGTTACTTATCACAGAGTTCTTTCGCTTTTCTACTGAAATGTGGAAAGAAATTCAATTGCTGAAAATGGGTGGGACATATCAGGCTATCAGCATTGCGAGATGATCAGTGGCGTCGAAAACCACACTTATACCATGATGGAATCATGTCCGAGAAATTCCAACAACAAATCCAATTGTTTCTGATTATGAAGATGATTATAACTTGTATCAACAATTTGATGTTTTTGATTTAGCAAAGGGCGGTTATAAGAATTCTTATGACCCACTTAGACGAAAGACCATCCATCACCAAAAGCAGGGAGAATTTCGTGTCAAATTGTACATTTTTTTATAGTCGCCTATAGATTGAAGACTATCTCGATTGGAAGCGGGCAATCAAAATTACATGGAGATATCAGCTAATAAGCAAGTTAAATATGTTGCTTACCATTTGAAGGGAGGGGCTATTGTGTGGTGGATGCAATTATTGCGATAGTTGAGGTGTGAAGGAAAGTCCATGTAAGGAGTTGGTTTCGAATGAAATAATTGCTGAGAGGGCTTTTCCTATCTACATGTTAGCTAACAAAAAAAAATCGATGAGCCCCATCTCTCCAAACCAAACCCACTTCATATGGTTTTACGCCCAAATGAAGCATCTCCTCGCTACTACAACTTCTCTTCAACAACTCATTGATAAATGGAGAAGAAACGAAATAGGAAAACAGACCCTCTGTTCAATCACGTTCACGAACCTGCCTCCTAACCGCGAATCGTCTTCCTGTTCGCAAGCCCCATCTACGTCCATAGCCACACGCTGAATCAACTTCCTGTCCATAAACCTGCCTTCGTCTGTCTCGTCTGATGTCCCAACCTCCGACGTCTGTTTGCGCCCTATACTTCCACAACCGCCTTGGGCTTCGACAATTGCAAATGTTGACTCTGCCTTCTTGTTTCCGACTGCAACTCCTGTAAGTAGCCGCAATTTGGCTTAAGCCCACGATCTATCTCCACATATGATTGCCCCAGATCGTTGCCACTCTATTCGTCCAAAGCCTTAGCTTTTCTTGAACGCGTGCCTCCACTTATGCCTATACAACAAACTGTTGTCTTAAGACATTCTATTTTCTTATTCTCAATTTAAGAGAATAAAATGACATGGCCTGAATTATCCTGATTTTCCAAGGCATTAATATTGTCTTAAAGTATTTAATCTCAATTTAAGAGAATAAAATAGTATTGTTATCCTGATTTTCTAGACATTATATGGCCTTAAAGCAGTTATTTTCAATTCAAGAGAATGAAATAGTATTGTTGTCCCGATTTTCCAAGGCATTATATTGCCTTAAAGCACTTATTCTCAATTCAAGAGAATAAAATTGCATTGCTGTCATGATTTTCCAAAATATTATATTACCTTAAGTCACTATATTTGGATTGCTTGAATTGTCCCGATTTTTTAAGGCCGACATTCAACATAAAACATTACATTTTTTTGTTCTCAATTTAAGATAAGTATAATTGAATTGCCTGTTATTATTGGATCAATTCGAATTGAATTTTAATTGATTAATTTGATTAATTAATCAATTAATTTTAAAATTAACTTAATTTATTAAAATTTAATAAATTGTTTAAATTAATTAATGAAGGGTTAACAATTGAGACTTAATTAATTAATTGAAACAAATTTATTAATATTAACTGATTAATTAAATTCAATTGATTAATTGAAATTAATCAATTAAATTAATTCATCAAAATCAATTGATTACTTGAATTAATTAATAGAAATTAATTATTTAAAATCAATTGATCAGTTGAAATTAATTAATTAAAATTAATTGAAATTAAAAATAATTAGAAATTGATTAATTTATAAAAATTGATTGATTAATTTAAAAATACAAGATCAATTTAAAATATAACAATAATTTAGATCAAAGAGCTGTTATTCAAAATTTGATAGTATTGAAATTTTAATTGATTAATTGGTTAATTAATTAATTGATCAATTTATTAATTATAAAATAAAATGTAATAAAAGGGGGAGGGGGAATAGTTTCACTAATCAACATATACAACATTGCTCTCCAAAACCCTCTCCAAACAATAACTCAATACAGCTCTCAAGCTCTCCCTAACTCTTGTAGAGACAACTCTCAACCCTATACAGATAGCTCCCAACTCAACCAACTCTCCAAACCCAGTAGGCCAGTACAAACAACTCTCAAACTCATGTATATAAGATAACTCTCAACCCTGTAAAGACAGCTCTCAACTTAACTAACTCTACAAACAAGACTCTCTAATACAACAATTCAACAAACACAAACCCACATCACACTGTACAAGGCTCCAACTCTCTTGTACTAGCTCCTGCAATAAACAAATGAAACTAATTAAGCATTGAAATGATTAATATCATAGATGCTAATGCAGAAAAAGAACAAATGCTACAATAACCTACCAGTACACTAGTGCAGAAAAAGTAAATTACTAGTGGTCGCTCTAGTGTTTAGTAGTTTACTTTAATTAGACCCGATCGGCTATGTCACCAGGTTGATCGATTTGACCTGGTAACTCGGAACACAACAGGCGAGACGAGCGAGTTTGGGTGTAGGTGAAGGGGGTGAGCGCAGATTCGGGTGTGGATGCGAGCGCGAGTGAGGGCGCGGGTTCGGGTGCAGACGCGAGCGTAGAAGCAGGCGCGGGTCCGCCTGTAGACTTGAGTGCAGACACGTGTCGAGGTGCAGACGCGAACGCGTGAGGGCTAGCGCAGGAGGGCAATTCGGGTCAACCCGAACTTGATTCAATTTTATAAACAGGTCAAAAAACGAAACCCAAACCCGACATATCTAGCAAATGGGTTGACCTAAACCTGTAATTTTATGGGTTGGGTCCCGTTCACATTTTGGGTCGGATCAAATATTGACACCTCTATTCATGTTCAAAGGATATGAATAAAATCGTTGGTTGTTAATATTCTGCTTGATTACACATTTTGCTTGGAACATCCTGTTGATTACTTTTTTATTTTCTTCTTGTTAGTAGCTCCTATTTTTTGTATAGTCAAGTTTCTATTTATTTACAGCTATAATATCTTCATTGCAAGATTTGTGACAGATATCGTATAGCGTTGGTATCACAATCGTTTAACCTGAAGTCTTACTACTGACTTTTTATGTGCCGTGTCCTCAATATTTTAATATTATAATCATATTTATTCTCAGGCAAAAAATGGACAATGGAACCGTTTGACAATTGTAAACAGGCCTATCTGTAAGTTTTCTTTGAAAATTACTTTAATAGCTCTGAAGTTGCTATCTTATGAGTGGATTAATGATTTTTTTTTCTGTTAATTGTGTGGTTTTTGTTGAATTAATGAAGTTTAACTGTTAATCCAAATTTATTGTCATCAGAAATCATTAGGTGGTCAGCTGCTGAGATGAAATTGAAGCTTGTTTGCTTTCTCTTCTTGTTATTGTTGTGTTATTACATTTATTTAATATATATTGACTGATGTTTTATGGTGTAACTGAGCTGACTGAGATAAATTGAGTATGGCCTTGTAAAATTCTGTTTATTTATTTATTTTTATTCATGGACTTGAGTTGCATTTCATTTTGTTTATTAAATTTGCACCCAAATTTTAAAATTAACTTTTAAATTTATGTATTTGTGCTTGATATGATCAAATAATCATTTAAAATAAAAATAAAGTGAAAAATATGAGTTGGGGATGTTTTATGCTATTTGAGATTTATTACATAATAAAAAAATTAATCCATCGACTCTAAAATATATTATTAAAATAAAAAAAAGGTAGGAAGATACAAACTTTAATTTTAAAAAAGTAATAGCTAAAACATACTTCTTAACATGACTAATTTAATGAACTCGTTATCAAATTTCACATTATTAAGTTAATTATATATTAAAAAAATCCAAGTGATCGAAGATAATTTTTTTGAAGGATTCGTTGAAATATTGAAGATTTTGACATAAATAATTAAATAATATGAATACAAATACTCTGACCGCTAATCAATGACGACAATCATCAACATATGTTAATGTTAAGTATCATCAGCTACTCTTATCTTGTTTTATAGTCAACTCTCTCAATTATTAGATTGTCATCTCACTTAGGGCGCATTTGGGACGGATTTTTCGCTGCTGTGCTTTACCAAACACAACTGAGAGGTGGTTTGGAACGGACTGATGGTGCTCCGTTCTTGATAATTTCACGTCCCGCGGTTGCTTCTCACATCCGTAAGAAGCCTCCTGGGTTCGCCTGATTCCCGCTATTCATAGATATGTTAAATACAGTAATGCCTTTACTGCCTCACAAAGTTCCTCTATACCAGACGACTCCTCCGCTTCTGTCTCATCTCGCTCGGCATTCGCGATAGGAACTTTTTGGTGGCGAAGGTTGGCTTTCTTCCTTGTAGCTGTCAACTCCCACGCCTTAGCCACTCGTCTCCGTCACCCTTGACAATGTTTTTGCTTGTTGAATCGGAAGTTTTGCAAAACGGGAGTTCGCTCACTGTGACGCGATCGGAACCAAGACCGACGATAGGAGGGTGTTTGCAGTGAAGTTAGCCTTTCTTCCTTCCTTTACCTATGAAGGTAAATTGTTCCCATACAGCTGCAGCACAACAGTTCTACAGCTACGCTATCTAAACAAAATATAATGATTTATATAAAACAACTTCAGGAAGCAACTTTCTGTACAATAATTTTATAACCTACTTTACGGACAACTGCAGCCAGCCGTCCCAAACGCACCCTTAGTCAATCGATGTCTTCATCCCCCTTCTCCAAATAAGAGGATGAATGAAGCCTTATAGCTATCAGATCAGGTAATGAATAATTTTAATGGAGTAATTTTAGCATATGGGTTACTATAGGTAAAAACTCTTGCGCTTGTGAGCAAATTTTATTTGCCTTCTATCATACTGAACTTTATGTATGAAGCTAATTATAATGTGGTTGCCAGCTGAGAATTTGGAGCAAATAATTAATAATGGGGTCTTGGGTTGGGATGTTGAACATGAATAATGATATTTTTTGTACGCAAGTGCTATAGGTATAGGGTGTCGGAGAGTTAAATAAACTTTTTTTTATATATATATTTAGATCAATTAAATTAAATTCACATATATATCATGCATATATGACTCAAATTTAATGCATTTTTATCGATAATTAAAGCTCCCAATCAGAAGAATAAGCTAAGCTTTGTAACATTTATCTAATCTCATTTAGCTATTTTATCACCATTGTAGCAATATGAGTTGGGCTGGACAATATCTTCTACAAATTTATTTATTGCTTTTAAACTTTTAATTAAAATTGTTTCTTAATTTTGTTCTTAATTTTGAGTAATATTTCTTCATGATTTTAATTACTTATATATTTAATGCTAATAAACATTTAGGCCTCATTTGAGATAGCTTAATTTTATCTTTTTTCATTTCTAAATGTTAAATTTTTTTTGGTATTTGTTTTAATGTAATACCTTTATAAAAATTCTTTTTATAGAACTGCATTTTTCTATTATTTTTTGAACTTTTTTGTATTAGCTTATCCATTAGGAATCTTTGTTCTCCCAACAACAGTTTTAGAAATGGTTTTTACAAAAGATACCAGGCTTTTGATTATATTTTGTAGAAATAATTTTTAACAAAGATCAGTTGGCCGACCTTAGCTCAGTTGGTAGAGCGGAGGACTGTAGTTGGTGAGCTGTCATCCTTAGGTCGCTGGTTCGAATCCGGCAGGTCGGATGTGTTTTTTTGAGAAATTTTAATTTCTTTCAGTTTTTACAATGACGTATAAGTGTTTTTACCGGCTTGCCAAAATATATTCTTTTAAGCTTCTTAGGCAATTTTAAGTACATTCTATAGCAGTAAAGTAAATCTCATTTTGTTTCCCCAAAATTTTTTTTTAAAATTCCCCAAAAAAAAAAAAAAAATCTCATTTTGTAATTTGGAAATTTAGAGAGGAAAATATTTAAAATTTTTCTATAAATGTGGTAAGTTTACCTAAGTATACTATACACTCTGAGTTTCCAACCAACCATATATAAATAAATACAATATTTTATGTCCGCATCAATACAAAATTTTTTACAAATGCAACTTTTACTAAAACCCATCTCAATAAGCATACCTTAATTATATGGTTCATAATATCAGTAAAGGTATTTTTTTAATGAAGAGAGAAAAAGCTGATGTTGTATTCATCCTCGCTTTCTCTATAATCTTCTTCTTCTTCAAGTGCCAAATTTACTATTACCAAATATTTACTCCATTGTCTCATCTATGTTCACCGCAGCAATCTGCGAAGCCCCGATCCTTAAATTGCCGCCAGCCGGCGCCGTCCGACCGCCGGTCATTCTCGCATGCGCCTCATCGATGCCTTCTTTTTCTTCCTTGATATCTCCAGGCGGAAGGAAGCAGTCCATCGAAAGCCCCCAAATGTTGAAGTCCACCTCCTCGACCGTCCACGTCTCCTCCATCCTCGTCCTCGTGTTTCCTTCCTCCGTCTCACCAAATCGAAACAGAGAAACGCTCGTCCGACCGGCGTGCGCGATCTGGACGCCGTCGACCGGCCGGTAATCGTTGATGGAGGATTCCATCGTCGTTTCCCAGTAGACGCTTTCTTGATTGGGGGTTTTGATGCGGAGGAGATGGGAGTCTTCCAGATGAACGAGAAGGGCGGTGCGTTGGCTGAAATAACCCCATAGGGTGTGGCGGATGATTTCCACGCTGCTGCTGCTGCGAGATCGGAGGGTGGAGGCTTCGGCGTCGAGGCGGAGAACGAAGCAATCGTGGTTGTTGATTGTTTTCTCTCCGATGCACACGGCGCTGGTGAAGAGGTTGGCGGTAGATTTTGGATCCATGCCCTGCAGGCCAATTGTTTGAGGTTTTGACGCAGAGACAATTGAAGAGGTGAGGCATTCATATATGCTTTTTCTGTTTTTCTAAAGACATTTAATGCTAGCCTCGTTCTAACAAAATTAGAAAAAAAAAACTAAAAGAAGAATAATTTATTAAAAATATCATAGAACTCTTTTTAAGATATTTCTCTTTGTAAAAAAAAAATATATTATCCTTAAAGATCGAAGTTGTTAGTCTTTCAAAATATAAAATAGTCACTTATAACTCTATAAAAAAATTGTTATAATTAAAAGAAACATAATTGTAAAAATAACATAATATCTAACATCTTTATATTTATTTATGTAATATTAAAAAATTTAAATTCCATAAAAATATTATTATATTAATTTATTCATTTGGAATAGTTTTCTTATGATTTTTTAAATTAATTTTTAATATAAAAATTTTAATTTTTTATTAAAAAAGTATTTTAAGAAACAACTCAAAATCCCATTCGAAACGAAGCCTTGGACTAGCAAGAATGGTGATGAGCTTATCCTCTTGTACCAACTACAGCTGTTCATGTAAACTAAAAAAAATATTTTGGATGGATCAAAAGTGGTTAAACTAAGGCTTCATTTATTATTTTTTAAAATAATTTTTTAAGTACAAAATTTTTAATTTTTATATAAAAAATTATTTTAAAAAGCTGGAAGAAAACAGTTCCAGACCAAGCCAAAATTAAGATGAGCTAAATGTAGGATGATGAGTTGGTCCCAAATGGACTTGTGAATGCAGCATTTATCTTTTAATTCAATAGTTGAATTTACTGGAGCGCGACTTTGCAGTTCATTAATGTTGTCTTCAAATTAGTTGATATTTAACCAATAGCTTATCTTAAGGCATGATTTATAATAATCAGTCAAAGTAGACAAGTAGTAGGCGTCGCGCAAAACTGAGCAGTGGACCTTGTGAAGAACAATTAATTAATATGTTTTTAGACTTGCGGAAGCCACCCCGTGGGCACAACTATATGGCATAAACCTGGATGATTTTCCTAGATTTGTCTGATGGGAATGAGTTTCTCGCAATTAATATACAGAACTAGCTAGATGTAATGAAGAATTTGAATTGTACCTGAAGGGATCGGCGAAGGGGTCTTGGCGGTCCCCTTGAGGCATGAGACTGCTGCCATGGTGTTTGCCTCCAGGCAATCTTGCCGTTGCTGCCGGCACTGATCTTGCAGCCAGAGACCACCAGCTCCAGGCACCATAGGTCCGGCCGCTTCTGCCATAGAACAAAACCCCCCATCTCTCCATTGCAGCCCCCACCTGCCCCCTTTCCAGCTTTCTTGCCGCCACCATTGCTATTCATGCCACCAGCGCCTGGCCGAAGCTCGGTTGCGGCCATCCTCACCTTGCCCATCGCATACATGCTGCTTATAGCATTCAGCGCCTTCTCTCCTCCAGCAGCTGCAATGTACTGCTGCACGATGTACTTTGCCATTGATGCCTCCTTCATTAATTAATGTAACACATGCAGTTTTAGCTATTTAAATCAAAAGGTGTTTAATTTAGCAAGGTAGGATCGGAGTAGCTTACAATGGGGTCTTCCTTGATGCCACAGCTGAGGTTGGAGTGGTGGGACGTAGAGGGCATGGGGATTGGGACGAGAGGCGCGCCTACAACGCCCAGCATAAGCTGGAGCTCTGCGTTGCGGCCAAGCACGGAGGAGGCGGAGCGGTGGTCTACTTGGGAGCGCATCCACGCCATGACGTTGGTGCAGCGAGTGCCCAAGTGTTTGCTGCTGCTATTCCGGCCGCTGACACCGCCAACAAACATCTCCTCAGGAATGGGCACCTCGAGCACTGTGTCGAGGCCATCTTCACGGTCGAGGTTGGGGCACAGCTTCCTCATCGAAGAAGCTGATGATGCTATGTGATTGTCTACCTTCATCAATTATTAGGTACGCCTCCCGGCCCTTTTTCTCTCTCTCTCTCGATATCTCTCTCTCTCTTCAACTGGAATTGAAGCTGGCTTTGCTTCTTCTCTATGAGAATTGGAGCTAGATGGGGAGCACAAAGCAAGTAGGCGTTGGGGGGTCCCTCCCTGATGCTGATGGATCTACTGCTAGCTCTTTCTCCTTGAGAACGTGGTTGCACGCTTTAATTTACATTTGTTTTAGGGTTTCTTTTATTTGCACACCTACCTACCTTCCATTCTTTTTATACCGCTTTATTTTAGAGTTTTGAACGTTTGAATTGTTGCTTTCTGCATGCACACCTTGTTTCTACACAGCTACCAATTAACTTGTTTATTCTATCCAGCAAAAGAAAATTAATGTTTATTGTTCTAGCCGTTGGCCGGTTGCGATACTCATAAGAGTGGATTCCCATAATGCCCTGTTATCTAATCAATATGACTATAATAATTTTAATTTAGCGTTTTTTTTTTTTTTTGACATTTAGGTCATTTAAGGCAAACTCACACACACAACGCATACACATAGACTCGAATCTTGAACCTCTTATTTATAAGCCTAAGTTCACAACCAATAGACTAAGGAGAGTTGAGTGCGTATTTTGTTCGTATATTGGATTGTTGGTCTGGTTTTTCATCACTGAATTCCAAGTGGTGCTTACTTTTTGAGTTCATTTCTCAATGCAGATATCTGTTGAGTGACGACGGATTGGAACTTCTCTCTGCACTTTGCAGATTGTCCTCATTTTGAGGAAATTAGAGGGTACATATATAACACAAGGCTCTACTATGGGGAAATTTTATTAGGTGCGGAGTGCGGACGGGGTGAGAACCGTTCGCACAGACATAGGGTACCAAGCAGTACCGAGTGGTACCGAGTGGTACCGAACGGTACCGAGCACGGTTTTATACTAGTGTGCGGACGGTTCTCCCGTCCGCACTCCGTACCTAATAATTTCTCCCGAGTACAGATTAGGAGATCTGAAGATGATATAAAGAAAAGTTAGGAGTCCGAGAGACAATAAATCTACGGTAGATTTCGCTATTTTTTATTTATTATAATTATAATTTTTTTTATTTTAAGTTAATCAAATAAAAAAAAAAGATTATATTCTACCTAATATTTTCAAATATTCAATTAATAAATTTAATGAGCTGGGGAATAAAAATTTGTCAGCGTAAATATATATTATTTATCCAATTCTTAATTTTTTCAATGATTTTTTTAAATTTTTAAATACTTATTTTTTAATTTTTAATTAAAATCCCATGGAAGAGGCCTACGCGTTAATTTTAAAAAAAAATTGCAAGTCCTTAATGACTTCAAAGCTCGATAAAATACATCATTTGAATCAAAATCTAAGAGCCTAGAAATCAACCTAATTACAGAAATCATAACAAAATAATAATAATAATAATAAATCCAAATAACCAGCAATCAGCAAAAGGTCCCATAAGAAGCCACAAACTGCCATCCATTCTATTGTCTACTACCATTAGAAGTAGGTGTCAAGCAGCAACAACCACCCAAGCAATCAGCACTAAACCCACGAGGAGCACTCAAAACAACCTGAAAGAATCTGCAAAGGAAACATGGTAGGAAAAGGAAAAAGGAACCTAAAGTTCCTCAATGAACAACAAGATTAGCCAAGAAGATGGAAAGAAAAAGCAGCATTGCACCTAATGAATAACTCAAGAAACCATCATCCAAACAAACAACAGTAAAACAACAAACCCCACAACCAATAAACAGAACCACCACCAAGACGAAGGGCCAGAAAAAAGGAACCAAATAGCTGCAGTGAAAAACCAATCTATTTCATTTTTTGCTTCCTCTTATGATGTTTGCCACCACCCATAGCAAAAGCTTTTTCAACAATGCAATTAAAATTCTAATTATAGTCATCCTGAACAACATCCTCAAGCCCATCCAACTCATCCCCATCATCCCAATAAGGAGAGGATACATAATCATCAAGCCAATCATTTTGTTCCAAACAATTATTCTCCAAGTTACTTGTTAATTGGGATTTCAAAACCTCATTAGAAATAAGCAAAATCGGGACGTCTATAATCGGTTCCAACAAAGGCACATAAGGGTCAGCAGAAGCCTCAAGATTAGAGTCCACCACATCCCCAACTCCACTAAGCACAACATCACCCAAGGGATGATAGCTTCCATAATAACCATCAACAACATTATCAATTAAAGTAGGCGAAAAATTGGGGGTAATTATAAGTTAATTTTACATATATTAACATCCATGGCCTCATTAGCTAGAGGCACAACCACTTCATTAGCAACAATGAGAACAGGATTCAAGGGAGCAATATTTGCACCACCTTGATCCCCAACATTCACAACTCCAATAATATCAGAATGTTCAATATCAACATCATAGGAAATTCGATGACTCAAGGCATCATAAACCGCCACATTAGGAATCAGAGAAATAGGAATACTAGCCGTATATTTAAGTTATCCAAATTATTTCAATCACTTACAGCATTTCCAACAGAATTAACATTAACAACATTAGTAATAGGAAGATACTACTGGACAATGGAGGTAAGAGTAGTAACAGGAAGACGGCAATCACTAATCACATGCCCAATGTACTCTTACACTTTGCACAAAAGGGAGGAAATTCCTCCATAACAACAACATGAATGTAACCAAATTTCTCTGGACCCAGCCAAACTTTATCAGGATAATTTTTAGTAATATCAAGTTCTACCAGAACCCGTGAAAGAGAAGGACGCGATCCAATAGAAGTAGTGTTATCATCTTTTAATGGCTGACCAAAGAGCGATCCGAGGCCATGAAGGATGTGGGGAGAAAAAAGGTGTGGTTGTAGGGTTGGGAAGGAAACCCAAATAGGAATTACCAGAGATTATACAATAATGTCACAAAGGATGGACCATTTAGTCAACTTCATATAGCAATTGTTAATCATATATGATCTATAGCAAAATACACAACTATAATCTATGTCATTGAACATTTTAACTAAAATATGGGAAGGATCCAATAATATTGTAACAAAGACATCAACTTGAAGCTTAAGCTTGAAAAAAACATATGAATATATTCAAGAGAATGACGATGGGAGGGAAAGAAACTGACTAATGCAAATTGAAAAGGAGCAACGAGCGCCAAAATCTCTTCCTCTGATATCCACAGAGATGGAAGGCCACGAAACGATGAAGATTTCAATTCCGGAAAATCATATCATAGGAAACACTAGAGAGCTTCGATTTGGTCGGACCGTCCAAAAAATCAGATAGACCAAATGATTCACTGCCATTCCTGCCAAAAGGCTAGAGGTGGATAAATCAAAATACAAAAAGAAAAAAAAAAAATCAGAGAATAAAAAGTGGAAGGAGAAGAAGCTTCCTTAAGTTTTGGACCGGCGAGAGAGGGGCGGCTAGCGGTACCTCTTGGGAGCCCTAGTGAAACACTAACGGAGCGCCGAAAGTGTTGGGAGCGATGCAACTTTTTGATAGCATTATCGACGTTGAAGATGGGTTCCTTAGACCTATTGGCTTAGAGTATTTAGTAAATAAGACCTAATTCTATCATGATGGTGCTATCATTTGCTTTTTTAGAGATCCATGTATTTTTAAATACATGTTATTTATGTTAAATCTAATTAGGTTTATTATTAAAGTTAATTATATTTTAACTTGATTAAAATCAAACTAAATTAATAGAACTATGCTTCAATTCGGTTAAAAAAAGAGTAAAATGAATCCACGTAGAAATTGGCAGTTAGTAGTGTTGGGTCCCAATTCGAAATCAGCTTTAAATTTTTTGGTGCCGTAGAAATTGAATTTAAAATAGACGGCCTTCAATTTTGTTGGGGCAGCTGATGGAACCAACTGAATATTTGTCTATTTGACCTATCTATGGGCCTTTCTATGATAGGCATGCCTCACTTAGGCCCGGCGCAGGCGCTATGAGTGGTCCAGCCCTTTTGTATGGATATGTGGCCCATTCCAATATTGTGACTTATTGCTTTAGCAATATTCTCCTTTACATGTCATGCCCCAACGAGCTAGACTGGCTTTAGTGCAGATGGGCATAAATAAGATTCTTATTAATTTTCTGCGTTATGATGAGATTTCACATAAAGCAGCTATCTAAAATCAAATTATAAGAGATAATGTGCTTTGGTGAAGGTCAAATAAGGCAATCTGCCAACACTAAACTTCAAATTATTCTCCGTTATAACATCTTTGACAAACAAAATAGTAATTCTTCCTTTTAGAAATGCCTATGCCCAGACAATAGACATAACTTCAACTGGGCACCAAATTCTTTTATCTTAAAACGAATAGATTACAGTCTATGAATATCATTTCTTTCAAATTAATTATCATAATTCATTTATCATCATCATCTGATTACTATCATCTTATATATTTGTTGTGCTCAATCAATGTCACTTTACTAATATCGTTCAATCAATCGATATTCCCATTTTTGTACTACTTCACAAATATGCATTATAATTATAATAGAGTACTATCAAGTACTGCTCACAACTTTGAAATTTTGCCTTGTCCAGTTGTGGTAGACCTATGAAGCTTCAAATATGCAGTGCATTATTTAAAAAATGGAAACAAGTAACATAGCAATATATACACATCATCGAATCAAATAACAACTCTAATTAATTTTAGGTGTTAATAATCTGATGAGCAAGCCATAGTTGATTAATCAGCAGCAGAACTATTTGACATTTTAAGGAGAGAGATTGGAGATCAATTAGGATAATGTACGGCGATCGATCAATTAAGTACCAGTACTTATGAGTGATGGAGCAGTTAAAGCATAACAAGCGCAAGGCTTTAATTAATTTGGAGAGATGAAAACACCCTTTCCACATACCTAAAGGCTTTAATAATAATCGTTTTAACCACTCTCACCGGACTCATACGCAATGAAAACGACGGCCATTAACCATTAATGTTTGTTTTACTTGCAACTTTTTTTTTATTCTTATTTTTAAAACTTAATTGTATCATTTGATAATTAAAATTATTAATTGAGACAGTATTTATATATATATATATATATATATATATATATTAAAGCAAAGCACTTTTAATAATAATCCTTTTAACCACTCTCACCGGACTCATACGCAATGAAAACGACGGCCATTAACCATTAATGTTTGTTTTACTTGCAACTTTTTTTTTATTCTTATTTTTAAAACTTAATTGTATCATTTGATAATTAAAATTATTAATTGAGACAGTCTTTATATATATATATATATATATATATATATACGACATCACAAAATCACTTGATCAAGCACGAATCTCGAGGCAAAAACTAGTTGAAAACTTCAAAAATTAATTTCGGGAGCATATGAACTCCGATTTCAGCG